AAAAAAACAACTTTTTTTTTCATTGCTGCTGGCAAAGAATGTGTTAGTGATGATCATTGCTACTATTCCAATATTGCAGACTAAATGTCTTTAGTGGTTTTCTGTTTGTTTTTAAGGCAGAAAACATTGCTGCATGGATTTTCCCACTTATATTCATATCATATCTTCATATATTCATATTCAGTAGGAATACAGAATTCTTGCTGGATGATATTTTTGCCTGTTTTTAGGTTTCGGTACTTCCTGAACTGTTTTGGAGTATGTTGAAAGGGCACTGTGGTAACGTGGGAGTTGCAAAGAAATTCTTATTCCTTTCATGACTGTTGTTCTTAGAGGTGAAAACATATGACATTTTAACACTCTTTTAAAGTCATCTAAAGGATGTGATAAACCATGGCAAGAAATGAAGATTCAGGGACAGGGTGACGATCTGTAACTTGGTCTCTGTCTCAGAACTGCAATATAATGGCACTGTGCACTGATGTGCTAGACTTGAATAAAGGTCTCGTAAACTTCTCCTTAAAGATGGGGGAAAAAAATAACCCCTCATTTTCCATTTTCTCCTTGTCTGTTTTTCTTCAGCAAGGGAAGGATATAGTGCTTGAAGAGCATCCAATTGGACATGAATTATTAATGACTAGGCTTTTTTTATTGCACAAGCAGGTTGAAATGTTTAAAATAACTTTCTTCTTAGACCCTGCTTATTTCAAGCACTTATTTAATGTCTTTGAAGCTGAGGTGTTTGTTTCTTGAACTGCCTTTCATTCCTTATTATCTTCAGTTATTTGTTAGTATGGCAATGGGATCTATAATTTTGTTGCTGGTGGAGACTCTGTGGTAGAGGTAATCTGAACCTGCCTGATCTGTGAATAATTCCTTCTCTAAATATCCCTTTACTATGGCTTCTCTCCCCAAAATGCTGCATTGCTACCTACCTTTTCTTGTTCCTTTGCTTCTCCAAAGTAATCTTATGTTTATTTTACTTCCTTCCCCAATGTGCTTCATCTAATTCTGTCGATGAACATATATTACATCTTAAACCAGAATTGCAGTGTTTTCTGGCTCCTATTGCCTCTAGCTGTATGAAGAACTTTTCTACACATCTTTTTATTTCCAGGAAAAATCCAAAATTTTGTTTAAGACTCTCTACTGACTTACTCTAGCGTGGTGCACAGACCTTGGGTGGGATCCAGGCTGCACTAGGAGCTTACATTGAATGAGTGATGTATGCACATGATTCCACTTATGTATGTAGCCTGTTTAGTAATATTAGAAGTGAAGGTATTATTTAATCTTTTCCACTGTTTCCCTTTACTTTGAGGACTTCTGATTTTGAATTCTGAAATAGTACTGTAGGATTTCCAGGAAGCACTAGGATAACTCTCTGGTGCAACTGTGGAATCTTTCTCACCATTCTTTTGGGTGACTCCAACTTTTGCCAATGGCTGGTTGGTTCGTTGGTTTGTTTTTTTCGTTTTCCTTTTTTTTGTTCCATTTGTTGTTTGTTTGGGTGGTGGGTTTTTTTTGTTTGTTTTTTAAGTCTCCTGAATTGTTTGTTTTCACTGACTCCACTCAAGGTCATGTATTGGACTTTATATTGTTTCAGACCTACTCTTAGGTTTGAGTCATTGAATTATGAATATTTTTTCATATTGCATTGAACATGATGCAGAAAACTACAATTCCTGAAGAACAGCAGCATCATTTCTTTTTGGTCTTACTGAATTACCATTTGAAATGTAGTGATCTTCTGTTGGTCATGACTGTACCAGGAGAAACCAAATCTGGTCTTTAGACAGCACTTACTTTTTAAAGTTTACTGCTTTTTAGGTGAGCATTCTTTTTTGAGTCCCAGGTGTCTTACGGTATATAGCACTTCATCCACTGTTGAAAAAAGACATCATCCAGCCTGTTTAATAAGATGAATATCTATTTCATCACTAAACAGAATTCTTGGCTTGTGTTCCTGTGACATAAGGGACTTGCATAAGAGGATCTGTAGACTATTTTTAAGGTGTTTTGAAAAGCACTATTATTTAAAAGAGGTCATGCATAACAAACCAGGGATTTCCATGACTACTTTTAAGTGCAAGCAAAGCAAAATAGTAATGGTATTCTGTGCTGCGTGTGATACTCCTGATATCCAAGGTGGTTTGATTTCCATTCTTCCTTTTCTTTGTAGTCTGCCAGCTGTCTTGTTTCATGTGTATTTGCATTCTTATGGCAGATTTTTTTTTTATTAAAAAAAAGTAAACCTTTACTTTTGGTAATAACAAAATGGTGCCATACTGTAGGTGGTGCTTATTGGTGATTCTTCTACTGAAGTTCCAGATTTACCTTTCTTATGCTTATATGACAGAAGAACAGAGACTTGATTTTTGACACCCAAATCACTAGATATTTTTTCTACAGCTCAGGAATCTCCTGTTTATTTTAAATATAGATTACAGCATTGTAGTAAAACAGAACAAGAACAGAGTTGAACTATTGAACTGTTGATTTTAGTCTGCAGTGGCTTCCAGTAGGAAATGCACATAAGCAGTTAAATGTATTATAGCTAAATAAAGTAATATCAAGGAGGCTGTTCCTCAGTTGTTTGGTAATGAAAGTACTGAGCATATACAAAATAAGCTACTGGTCTGTGTTAGAGAATTGCAGTGTTCAGGAAAAGCAAGAGCTGTTGTCTGTGGGTTTTTTTGGGGGAAAGTTACTTATCTACACTACAAAATAAAGTCTTAATTTCTTTTCATATCAGATTTACACCAACCATACCTGGGATATTTGGAAGATTTTCTTTTATTTGGAGACTGTGTTTCAATTATGACAGTATACCTTCAAAATGCCTTCAGCTAACATTAGTCCTTTGCTAGGGCTACCCCAGTGAGTATTCTAAAATATATTAGGACTTGTTGTGAAGACATTTCTACCATTTCCTTAGCGATTCGTGGAGCAAAACTACTCATACATAAATCTGCCAAGACTCTGAAGGACCAGCACCTCCAATATCAAGAAATATGTGTAACGTACTGTGGTGTGGTTTTTTTTTTTTTTTTTTTTTTTTTTTTTTTTTTTTTTTTTTTTTTTTTTTTTTTTTTTTTTTTTTTTTTTTTTTTTTTTTTTTTTTTTTTTTTTTTTTTTTTTTTTTTTTTTTTTTTTTTTTTTTTTTTTTTTTTTTTTTTTTTTTTTTTTTTTTTTTTTTTTTTTTTTTTTTTTTTTTTTTTTTTTTTTTTTTTTTTTTTTTTTTTTTTTTTTTTTTTTTTTTTTTTTTTTTTTTTTTTTTTTTTTTTTTTTTTTTTTTTTTTTTTTTTTTTTTTTTTTTTTTTTTTTTTTTTTTTTTTTTTTTTTTTTTTTTTTTTTTTTTTTTTTTTTTTTTTTTTTTTTTTTTTTTTTTTTTTTTTTTTTTTTTTTTTTTTTTTTTTTTTTTTTTTTTTTTTTTTTTTTTTTTTTTTTTTTTTTTTTTTTTTTTTTTTTTTTTTTTTTTTTTTTTTTTTTTTTTTTTTTTTTTTTTTTTTTTTTTTTTTTTTTTTTTTTTTTTTTTTTTTTTTTTTTTTTTTTTTTTTTTTTTTTTTTTTTTTTTTTTTTTTTTTTTTTTTTTTTTTTTTTTTTTTTTTTTTTTTTTTTTTTTTTTTTTTTCTCCCTGTCATTTTGGTAAGGAGATTATTGAAACTATTCAAGGTAAAATTACAGTCAAGTATAGCATAAAAGTATTGCAGCACTGGGATTTCATTTAAAGAGAAAAACTTGAAAAAATTATTTTGAATGCTTTTTACATTTGCTTTACCTATATGTGCTGAATGTTTAGGGTATTAATGGCACATAATTTTAAAGTCGTGTAGAGCAGCCAAAGCAGAAAATGGAGAAATACTTTCCTAAGTCCTTTAAAAAGTTAATTTTTACAATCAAGACTTGCTAAGTCTTGATTTAGGCAAGATGTCATGGGATTTGTTTGTCATCAAAATAAAAAAAGATTGATAAAGCCTAATGAGATACATATATATATATATGTGTGTGTGTGTGTGTGTTCTGTGAGTTATGAAACTTAGTGAAATCTACTGTCATTTGGGTTTGAGTCCCATGACCCCCATACTTTTCTTGCTTTCCTTTCCATTCATTGTCTTTTGCTGCTGTTGCCGTAAGCCCACCTTCTTACAATGTCCTCTGTCACCTTGCGTCACCTTCAGTTCCTCCAGTTCCTATCTACAGACTCCATCCCTCCCAAATATCATCTAGGTGAGACGTATCCAGTTTGTGTGGGTTTCCACTATTAAGATCCTGTAAGATACCACTGACCCTGAAGCATGCCTTCATAACAAATTTAGTATTTTCAGAGTTTCCTTTTAAATGTGGCACATTTAACTAAAATGTAGCAATTAACGAGCAAACAAAAAAACCTGTGGATCATTGAGCTTCGTTTCTGGTAATGTGCTAGTTGTGTTAGTTATCCATATGTAGCAACAGGTGCACTCAAGAAAGACTAAGTATTGAAGACCAAGACTGTTTTCTTCACAAAATGGCTTAGTACTGTTCGCTTGGTAAGCATAACTGTTGGCATGTTTTCACAGAATGTGAATATGAGATGCAGAGTCACGGTCTAGTTATTTCATAAGAGATGATTTAAGGGATAGTGATAGTCGTAGTAGGAGAGGAGGAGGAAGACCGAAATAAAATATATGATAATGTATGATTTAAAAAATTGTGCATCTATTTAGAGCTGAAGTTATGTCAAGATAATATTGAAATACCTAGCCCTTAACTTGAGATGGAATATAGTAATATACTCTTCTCACTGCTGTCACACATCTATATTTTAATACCTATGCTGTCTGACTGCTCTCAGGAGCTGTACCTGATGATTGCATGTGCTCCAGTTGCCATATGGAAGGAAGCAACGCTACTGCTTACGTACTTTATGCTTTTCTCAATAAAGGATACTACAAAGAGCTAAGTATTTCTTCTTGCTTATTTATATACACATGCAATTTTTCTGTGTATCTTTTCAGCTCATGGAAAAAACTGACAGAGAGTACTACACTCTGGATGACATGTTTGTTTCCAAAGCAGCCAAAAGAGCGCGCAGTGGGGAAGAGGAAGAAATACAAAGAAGAAAAGCAATACATGAGCACCAGCAGCTTGCTGCACGCATGGAAAAGTGCCCATACTGCTTTGATAGCAGTGAACTTTCTAAACATCTTATTATTGCAATTGGCACCAAGGTAAGAAAACAGCAATTTAACACAAATGTAAAAATAAAAAAGAAATAAAGGAAGGCAGTGTTAATGTTAGAGTGCCTAAGATTAAGAACGAAATTGCTTCTATGAAATGATTTTTTGTTCTGCATCTTATTTTCCTTGCACTTCCAACTGATTTCACAAATTCCTCAAGAGTGAGGGAGAAAAAGATATAAATCTGTCATGAATTATAAAGCTAATCTTTGATATCAGAACTTCAGATTTGTGGAAGACAGGAGCAATAATGAAAGATCTGAGTTCAGAGATTAGACTGTAGGTAGATTTGTGGAAGACTAAATCACGCTGCACTGGAGGAAATCTGAACGGGTGAAGAATTGTATCTCAATCATATCAAAGAAAATTAAGTGGAGAATTCAATTTTTTAAACCTAAAATCCTTTGAAATAGAAGTTTGGTACGAGGAACCTCCTGCTTTCTGTTAATGCTTTTATAAGTTGCATAAATATTTGGTTTTATAACATATGAAATGCTTCAGTATAGGCTTTTTTGTCATTCTTTCTCCAAAGTTTTCATTTATTTTTAATGTCTTTCATTTGATTTGAAACTTTTTATAGGCCAAGGAATTAAATAAATACATACAGATTTGTATCTGTGTGTATATATATGCATATACATATGTGTTTATATATCTAATAGATATACACAGAGATATATCTATATGCATTTTTATATATTATATTTTATTAAAAATGCATACAGATATATATCTCTATTAAAAAAAATGTATTGTAATGGACCAAATAGTGTGATTTCATAATAGTTAGGATACCGGTTGGTCTATAAGGCTGATATTACTGCCTTGTTGGTGGAGCTGCTGTCTGGATACTATTAGTTCATTGGAGCTACTGATGGATAAAGGTACTGTTTTAAAAACACTAAAATTACTCATACCTTGCTGTAACTAGAAGGTAACGGCTTCTGTTGGTTTGAATTTTAGCAAATGATATATTTCTTAGCCTTAGCAATGGGAAGGTTTTTAATGCTAGAAAAATGGGTATTTCAGTTTTTGTTCGCTTTTTATAGGTATACTTGTCTCTACCAAGCAACCAGTCCCTTACTGAAGGTCACTGCCTGATAGCCCCTCTACAGCACCATACTGCAGCCACTCTTTTGGATGAAGACATCTGGGAAGAAATCCAGGTCAGCTGGGATACTGTCTCATGTTCTAACATTTTTGTAAAATAACGTTGTTTTGAATAATAATGTACTTGTCATAAGTACCTATTTTCATAATTTCCAGCCCGGCAGCTCTTTTCTGATTCCACTAAGGGGCAGAACATTCTTGCATTATGGAGGAAAATTAGTGGTCAAAAATTGAAAAAGGGAAACGCGGGGTAAACACTGAAGAAAAGTTCTCATTTATAAGCACTAGAAAAAGTTGCCCGGAATGCTGCAGAACCTCTGTTATTGGAGGTCTTTGAAACCAGGTTAGAAGAACATCTCTCAGGGGTGACGTAGGTACAGCTCATCCCTTACAGAAAGTGGAATAATCAGCTTGGCAGTTAGGATTTCCTTGGGAGTGCTAAGGAAAAGAAAGGGATTGGCTGGGCAGAAAGATCACTTATAATGAAACACAAGCTGAAGATATGTTATTTACATATCTTCAGGTTTTTTAAGATAGTTTGGATTTTGGGTCGATGTCAACTGAGAGCGCACTATCTCATTCTTCAAATCAGTGAGGTGCCTGTTAGAATCCAATTTCCTACTTTTTTGAAAAGAATTATTAGAATAAAGTGCCAAGCATGATGGGTCATGTTTTCCAACTCTCCTATGAAGACATTTTGAAGGTTTTGAGTTCTGTTTTCTTTGGAAAAGGAAAATTGAGGGAGGAATGTAACAAGGTTCTGCCTAAGAGATTGACAGTAATTGGTCTCCCCCCCCTCCCCCCCCCCAACTGGATTATTAAAAGGGGAAAACAACTTGCAACCTCTTATATCAAAATATTGGATACTATTTCAGACTAGAGAAAGGCTTCGTTGCTTGCAGTTGCTTAGATTTAAAAGCAGGTTAATTCATGAGTTCGAAATGGTTTAAGTAACATTGATCTTGCCTTAAGCCTCGCAGATGGATTCTCTGACTTTCCAAATTTGCTCCCCACGTTCATTCTCATGGCTAATGTAATTTTTATACAGTGTTTCCTAGTAAATTATACTCCTCCCAAGCAGGAAGGGAAAGGAGTTCTTTTGTATATGACAGAAATGCCTAAGGAAGTTGGATAAGAAGCAAATAAGCGTAACGAGTAGGGATCAGGAGGAACAACAGAGCATGGAGAAAAGTGATAAACATGTTTATTCTATATCTTCTATTTATCGTAACCTCTTTTAACTAAATATATGTTTTTTTTCTAAATTTGTGTGAGAAAGAAAATAGGATAAAGAAAAGACAAGCAAATGCAGTTCCTGTATTCAACGCTAGTCTTTTCCTTGCTAGAAAATGCAACTAGTTGGTAACACCATTATCCATTGACCTTGTGAATACATTCATAGCCAGTTTAAACATTTCTTTGCAACAAAGTACTTCGGGAGGTGATGGACACAGATTTCCCCCCTCCCCAGCTTCTGTGTAATTCAGTAGGAGGAGTCTGGAAAGGCTTTAGCAGGAGTATAAGCATACATTTACTGAGTGACTAAACTAACTTTCTGATACCAGAGCCATATTTTATACTGCTGTTGTGGGGGGGGGGGGGAAATTATCACACTTTAAATATTCATGAAATGTTGTATTAAGCACATGTTTTAGATAACTATTTTTGCTGGGATATTTTTTTAAGATATGTTGAAAGAAAGCAAGAAGGATACTTTTATACTGTATGTCTTCAGGCACTTGAATTTAACATTTTGTGTGTTTTAGACTGATGTACTCACTTTACAAAGTAAATATGCATGTAATTTTTTTAATATGAAAAGATATAGATCTTTACATGTTCTGTATTGCCTGAGCTTTTACATGTATCAACATTGTGTGCATCTGAGCATAAGCCAAGCCTTCTTATTTGCTCTTGTGAATGATTTTGCCCTTTCCAGTGCTAATTATCCTTGATGTTTTGGCCCGCTCAGAATTTGGAGGAAAAGTGCAATGTATTTAAAAACAAGAAATTGCAGTCTGGGAAACGTTAGCTAACGTCTGCAGATATTCTAGGCTTTTCAGTGGATTTGTATTTCAGTTGATATTGCAGGGTAGCAACTGCAAGTAATAGTCCTTCCCAACCTTTGGTTTAATGTTTCTCTTATCTCACCACAGTTTCTTGCTTTGGTGTATTTCAGAAGCAGAGGTCTGGGGGCCAGGGTGAGGGGGAGAAGACAACAAGCTATTAATTCAGAGTTGTCTGTTGCTCTGCGCAGTAAAAGTCCTGTATCAGTCATGGTACAGTGATCTATTCACTGGGCAATATCTTCTCGCTGTGTTTCATCGGTTGTGTTAGGGGTGGTGGCGGTAGCATGTTCTTCTCACAGCATGGAGCAGCTTATTTGTGAGGAAAAATTTAGGGTACAAGGGCCTGCTTTGGAGAGCTTAAATACCTGGTTAAGATATATATTTGGCCAAGTTTCTCAGACTTTCAGTTTGATTCATACTGTGCAAGATGACAAAAGGATGGGGAGAAGAGAGCTCAATTTCTAGTCCTGTTGCATTGAAAACCTGGTAGTGATTTTTTTTTCCATCTGTTTTACTTCAGTACTTGCTGATGTTTATGAATATGTGTATTTGCTTATGCTTGTTTAATTCATCAACTGTCCATTTACATTACCATAGGAAATCTTAAACCTTTAGCTGGGATTAGCCTTTTAATTTTGTTGTTTGTACTTCTAAGTGTTGTTAATTGGGGAAAAAAAAAAAACTAACAACCAAAACAAAAACACCCAGTGGAAAAAGGACAACCTATGAGTTATGTGAGTTGTAGAGCTATAGTACCTGTGGTCTATGAGGCTCATACAGTTTCGGTGATTTCTTGGCTTACACTGTGGAAATGGTATAGGGAGCATGTATAATACAAAGATCTTAATTTTAAAAAAGCAGTTTTCAAGATCTGGAGACACTTTTGGAAACATTCACCCTGTCACAAAGTCAGATCTTTTGTGCATTTGAAAATGAGTCTGAATGAGTCTCTGAAATCATCCCGTGTACTTGGTAATTTAGTTTGGCATCTACATTGTAAGCTGTAGAATGATGCTTTTGCATATCTTGGATACAAATACTGACTGCCAAGAGTCAGGGAGCAGCAAGAGCGGGCTGCTCCACAGGGAAGGCAAGGCAGGGGTGGGTGACAGGCAAGGCAGGTGGGGGAAGTCACCTGACTGACAAGGCGCAGTCCCATGGTACCCAAGCCAGGAGAAGAGAGGAGGTCCCATGACGGTAGACAGGGTCAGCCACAGCCCAGTGATGGCCGGACAAGTCTGCAGTGATGAGTTAGGTTCAAGGTCAAGTCAGCAAGTCAGGGTCAAGATCAGCCAGACACATGGCTGGGCACAGGCATCCCTGAAATTTAGCTCAGGCAAGGACCAAAAGTGATGGCCTGAGCTTAATTGCAGCTCCTGAGTGAAGGGGGGCCAGGCCCCCACTTGTCACAGCTCTTTTTTTCCCCAGCTCTTTCTGCTGTGTCTGATCCCAGCTTATAGCTGCACCATGTCACAGCTGCCCATCTACATGGGCAGCCAGAGCCCTAGCAGGTACGAGAGGCTGCAGAGCCTGTTGAGTGTGTGCAGGGCCCACACTCAAGCTAGCAGAATTATAAATTGAAATACACTTTGAATGGGTGCAACACCTAATCTCTAAGGGGAACTGGTAACATTGAGGCCAGGTGTATTACAGTATTGCATTTGGTTAGCTTCCATACAGTGAAGATGGTGGTTGCAGCCATGGCTTGCTTTGGAGACAACGCTAACATTTTCCTTAAAGGTCAAACATGCCTAGGGAAA